AAAATGGGCAGTAAGCGCATGAAAAGATGCTCGACATCACTAGTCATTAGGGAAATGTAAAGCAAAACCACAAGATACCACTACATACCCATTAGGAAAATGTCAATTACAAAAAAAGAAAAAAGTTAAATATAGGTTTGGGGCTGCCTGGAGCTCAGCGTAGAGGAGCTGCTTGGGGTGCTCAAAGCCTGAGTTGGTTTGATCCTCAGCGCTGCAGGAAAAAAAAAAAAGTTAGAAAGAAAAGCGGGCCAGCCAGACAGCTCGCCAGACTAAAGTGCTTGCTTAGGCAGAGTGCAGCGGCTGGGGTTCGATCCCCAGCTGTCCATGACAGCCCCGCCCCTGGGAAGCGCTGAGAGGGTGATTGAGACTGGGCATGGTGGTGCACACCTGTAACCCCAGCGCTTGGGAGGCTGACAACAGGAGACTCACTAGAGTCTGATCTCTGTAGTGGGACCCTGTAGATCCTGTCTTAAACACATTAAAAAAAAAAAAAAGACAAAAAGTGAGCTGAGTGTAGTGGTAGCGGTGGTACACACCAGTCATCCCATTACTGGGGAGACTGAGGCAGGAGGATCATTCTGAGTTCAAGGCCAGGGTGGACTACATAGCAGGATCATGTCTAAAAACCCCCCAAAAAAGCAAAAAACAAAAATCCCTCAAAATATAGTGATTAATATGATTTTGCATTTTGATTTGTGTGTGTGTGTGTGTGTGTGTGTGTGTGTGTGTGTGTTTGAGACCGTGTCTTGCTGTGCAGCCCAGGCTGGTCTTCAGATCAGTTTATAACCCAGGTTCATCTTACTTTTGTTGTGTGTGTTTTATTTAGGGAAGGGTCTAAAGGGTATTCAGGGTCTCACTACTAGATTGAACTCATAGTGATCTGCCTGTTTATAGCCTCCCAAGAGCTGGGGTTACAGGCACACACCACCATGCCCAGTCTCAATTGCCATCTCAGCGTGCCCAGGGGGCGGGGCCGACACGGCAGGCCCAGAGATTGAATCCCCGGCCCCTGTGCCTGCCTGCAGGTGCTTTAGTCCATTGAGCTATTTGGTTGACCCATATTATTTTGTATTAATACAAAGATATAACACCTGACCAGCACGTGTGAGACCCTGAGTTCGGCTCCCCAGCCTGGCAAAATATAAAAATAAAAAAGCCAGCTGAGATGGCTCACACTTGCATTCCCAGGTACTGGGGCCCCATGACAGGAGGAGCTCAAGTAAGAGGCTACCATGGGCAACATAGCGAAATTCCCATCTCAAATTTAATTTATTATTATTATTTTTTTTTATCTTGCACAGTTGCTTTAATTTTGGGTAATTTTTATTTGTAAGCTAGTTAATTCATGTCACTTTTACACAACCCATCTCAAATTTGAAAAAGGCAAAAATAAAAGATATACAACATGGGGAGAAAATAGGCAAAAGCTTTGAATAAGTACTTCACAACAGATGCGACTCAAATGGGATGCATATATGTTACATATATATGTATATATATATATATATATTCAATTTTAATCGTTTGACAAAGATAAATTAAAACCACATCAATGATTTGAGTGGCCAAAATTTTAAAAATTAAATTTTTTTTTGCGGTACCAGGGATTGAACTCAGGACCTTGTGCTTGCCAGGCAAGCACTTACTCTACTGAGCTATCTCTCTGGCCCAACATTTTTTTTTTTTTTTTCGGAACCGGGGATTGAACTCAGGCCCTCGCCCTTGCCAGGCAAATGCTTATTCTACTGAGTTATCTCCCTGGCCCTAAAAAGTTATTTATTTTTTTTAGTATTTATTGGATAAAGGGTCTCAGTTTGCAGTTCAGACTTGTTGTGATCCTCCTGCTTCAGCCTCCCCAGCGCTGGAATTCTAGGTGTACACTACCATGTGTGGCATGTGGTACTGGGGATTGACCTCACATCCTTGTGCTTGCCAGGGAGGTGCTTAGAACACTGAGCTGTCTCCCCAGCCTCCTGAAAAAGATACTTAATAGTGAGTGTTTTGGAAATGAGGAGCAGCTGAAACCTCCCTCCCCTATATTAAGCAAGTAGTCTTCCATTGAGATGCATCCTGGATTTTATTTATTTATTTATTTATCCAAGTTCTTCATATGTAGCTCAGGCTGGTCCTGAACGCAATGTGTAGCCCAAGTCAGCCTCAAACTCATGGCGTTCCTCCTGCCTCAGCCTCCCCAGTGCTGCAATCACAGGCATGCACCACCACATCCGACTTAACCGAAATTCTTATACAACTTGTAGAACAGTAAATTGGTACAATCACTTTAGAAAGCTTCTTGGGAAAGATGAAAGGGCTATCATTAGCAGTTTCACTTTTAAGTACACGCCTGCCAACAAGACAAAAATGAAAGATCTTGAGCCAAGGATGGTGGTACATGCCCATCAGCCCAGCACCAGGGATGGAGGCAGGAGGATCATAAAGTTTGAGGCCAGCATGGACTACAGAGTGAGACCCCTTTCTTGGAAAAAGGAGAGAGAGAGAAAGGAGGAGAGAAAGAGTGGAGAGAGAGAGAGAGAGAGAGAGAGAGAGAGAGAGAGAGAGAGAGAATGTATTCCAATATATATTAAGGTGCAGTGTTCCTCAAGATCAGTTATGTCTAACGGTAGCTACTCTAAGACTTCATTCATATAAAGTGCAAAGCAAGCAAAGCTAACGTGTGGTACTAGAAGCCAGGATAGCCGGGGAGATGCCAGGATAAGGCTCCGCTTCAGCAGAGGGCAGTGAATTACAGGAGGCACAGGGGCCTTGAGAGTGAGTGATCTGTCAGGCAGTGTTCTGGCTAAGGGGTGTGGTCTCTTCGTGACACTGGTGATCTGTGACTTCTCAATACCTGTATCACATATTGATTTTTTGTGGGCGTTCTATGAACCAGCGTCTAAGTAGTCCAGGATGGTCCTGAACTCAAAGCGATCCCTCCTGCCTTAGCCTCCTAAGTGCTGAGATTGTAGGTGTGCAGTACCACGCCAGGCCCATGCGTCAATGTTGAAAGTTTATAAAAAACAGCGAAGTTCAACATGTAGTCTCCCTTCAAAGGCTCAGCGCGTGCCCACCAGGAGGGAAGCACCGGGACAGGCGTGTTGAGATCGTGCAGTTTGCGCGCATCACCGCCTCTCGTTCTTCCCTCGTGATTGGCTGCGCTTTGGGCCAATAGCAGAAGAGTTCACGCTGGCGGCCAGCCCCAACCGCTCTAGCTAAGCTGTAGCTTGTTCCCATCTTGCAGGCGGCGCTGTGGGCTCGCTGACTCCTTGGATACTCGTAGACCAGGTCACCACCCTCTTATTTTTCAGACTGTCAGGAGTAGAAACCAGATTAAGTTCTAGCACGCCTGTATTTTCTGCAAAATTCTTTTGTGGCTTTTAAAAATACTGCTTATTTATTTATGCTTGTGCTTCTCCCCAATGCTCTTGGTCCAGAACTCCCGGCCACATATTTACACTGCTTGGTGTGACCGGGCCTCAGGATAATGTTTGAGACATCTTGATTGTGCCCCAAGCGGCACTAGCCACGTTTCTCTTCCGGCTAATTGTTTACTCAATTGTTTATTTATCCGGAGTGGGGGGCCGGCTGCCCCCAGGGAAGCCCGTTTCCTGTCCTTGTCTGGCTCAGCTTCCATTCCCCGTCTCGCTTGGGCTGGAAAGAATTGCAGAGCCAGGAAGGCTCTTCTTGATGTTCCATCCATTCAACAACGCATTGATGAGTCCTGCCTTGGGTCTGGGCCTTTGTTAGGGACATCATGGATGACTAAGAGAGTCGTGTTTCACCCTCCCAGGATGAGAGAAAAACCCATTACCAGACAGGAGTAAGCCAGCACGGCCAGAGCACGGATGGGGGAAGCTAGGGTGGGGCTCTGCCTCAGCCTGGGGTTGGGGAAGGTCTTCCTGGAGGGGAGACATATACGGAGCTAGCATCTGAAAGAAGGGTAGGGGTCTGGCCACACACACACACACACACACACACACAAAGGGGTAGGAGTTATTCAGTGGACAAAGAATTCGTATTTTGGCTACCACACCCCCAATGCCTCTCATTCTTTTTAATTAGCATTGGATTCATTCTCTTATTCATAAGCAACTATTTATTGCATGTCATTTGCCAGGCTTGAAAACTGGAATCCTGGCCTTAAAAGGTGACACACAAAATGGTGACACCAACACAGGACAGGTGTGTAGTCACCTGCCTCCCACTTATCTGGGTTTGAATCTCGGATATACCCATTCCTAGTTGTGTAATCTTTATGCACTTTATAATTTACCCCAAAAGTTTTTATGAGATTGGAGTTAATGTCTCAAGTGCTTTATGTATCCCCCATCTTGACTTATTTTAGGACAGTCTTGCTCTTTAGCAAAGGTTGGCCTCGACCTCAAGGTAATCCTCCTGCCTCTGCCTCCTCGGTGCTGGGATTACAGGCATGTGCCATCACTCCTGGCAAAAGGGTCAAAATTTTTTAAAGCATAAAAAGTTAAAAAGGTCTGAGTCCGGGGAGATAGCTCAGCGGTCTAAGTGCCTGCCTGGCAAGCACAGGAACCGAGTTTGATCTCTGGTACCACATACAGTGCCTGCCCCGAAGCCAGGTGTGGTGGCACATGCCTGCAATCCCAGCACTGGGGAGGCTGAGACAGGAGGATCACGATGAGTCTGAACTGTGTAGTGAGACCCTGTATCCAATCAATAAGAAAGACATTTTAAAAAAGGTTACTGGGAACAATCTTTAATCTGAAAAGCTTTGCTCCAACAGATGTTTTAAAACTTGAGCCCATAAACTTTGTATATACAAGGCATGATTTTTCGTACTTTACAGTTTCACCTTAGTCTCCTGTCCTTTATTTTCCCTGAACTGGGATTGAAGACAGAGCTTCTGGTATGCAATGGAAGTCTATCAGCGAGCCCCCATTTTGCTTTCCTAAATTTCAGGCACCGATGGTCAACAGGGTGGAAAATATTTCGGTCTTTAATCTTTCAAGTGAGGGTCCACAAGCAGGCTATTTTTCATTACAGATCAGTTAAGTTATAACTGTTCTATTTTATTGTTAATCTGTTCTTGCGTCTAAGTTTAAACTTTACCACAGGTATGTACATATACGAAAACATCCACGATTAATAAATAATCAGAATGTACTTCAAGCATGTACTAATGAAAAATTTAGACACACATATAGATGTAAATTTAAATTTGGGCTGTTTCAGGGAGCTACCCTTCTGAGGGAGGTACAATTTAACATCTAACGGAGGAAGAAACTAAAGGACAAAATACAATGGGAAACGGGCTTTTTTCATGCGTTCCAAAACCCAAACTCGGGGCCCCGAGAGCTCATTTTCTACAATGCGTACTTCCGGAGGAGTCCCATAGGAACTCCTCTTTGGTTCAGAGGAATCAAGTTTTTCGGCTGTGCCCTCTTCCATCATTACTTCCCCTCCAGACGTCCAAACTGACAGTTCCTCTGCAGTCATTTGGATAATGTTGATCTGGAGGCCAGGATTACGCGGAGAACTAGGCCGTCTTCGCTCTGTTAGACACAGAGCGATCGCGCAATCATGAATAACTAGCGTTAGTGCGCGCGTTGATTCTCCTTACTGCCAGAACTGAGAGCACGCGCTCTCCAGCCCCGCCCTCTCTTCCGGGACGACGAATTGCAAGGATCAGATTGGGCTGAGGCAGGCCACGCCTCTCAGCGTTCTCCAATCAACTCTCTTGCTGGATGCGCTCCCTCCTTCTTAGCTCCGCCCCAGCACCCCCTGCGCCCCAGCACCCCACGTTACGTCTCTCTTCCTCCGTTATCCGGGGGGCTGAGGCTCGCGCGGCAAACCCACCTACCCTTGCCTCCCATTGGCTAGTCAGGTCCCGCGCGAGCGGGATTGCGCCCTTCGTCTCCTCCTCCAGAGCCAGGCCATGCCTTTCCACTCCTGTTTTCTCCCAGAGCCAGCGCGAGGCAGAGGATTGACTGCTTCTGGCGCGCGCAAAGCGCGCGCCTCCCTTGAGCCACTCCCTCTGCCTTGCGCCAGCAGGCGCGCCGGCTGGCAGTTCCTACTGCGCACGCGCACTTGCCCACCCCGCTCCCTCTGCCCGTTCGCGGGTCTCCTCGAGCTCAGTCTCGCGCCGCAGTAGCCGCAGTAGCGGCATTTTTTCGGGGCGCACGCGCACTGCTCCCTTGGCGCCCGCTCCCTGCCTCAGGCCGCGGCGGCGGCAGCGAGCCCCTGAGGCGAGCGCGCGCTGTGGCTGCTTCTCGCTGTCCGACGCCGCTCATCCCCTCGCGGCGCGCGCCTGGGGGCCGTTATCCTTCTGCAGCAGTCCCGTGCCAGGCACGCGCAGAAGCGAAGGGGCGCGCGCTCGGGAGCGGCGGCTGCAGGAAGGAGGCGCCGCCGCCATCGCGCGCGAGCAAGGGAGGGAGCGAGCGAGGCCGGTCCGCCCTCCCCCTGGTTCCCGCCCCTCCCCCTTCCCTCCCCGCCCCCCGCCCCGAGGGAGAGCCGCGGCGCGGCGGGAGGAGGAGGCGGAGGAGGCGGAGGAGGGAGCCCGCGAGGGAGGGTCCGCCCGGCCCCCCGCCGCCGGAGCCACCGCCGCCTCAGCCGCCGCCGGACGAGTAGTGGGGGAATATGGCGCCGGGGCCGCCGTCGCTGCGGCCCGGATCCCCGAGGCCGGGGCCGCGCTGAGGGCGCCCAGCTGGTGAGTGCGCGAGCTCGCGGGCCCCGCGCGGCGAGGCCGGGCGCCGCCCAGCTGCGGGGTCCAGGGGGAGGCGGGGACGGCGGGGCCCGGAGCCCGCGAACAATGGAGGAGCTAGAGGGGGAGGGGAAGGAGCGGACCCCCAGCGCCCCAGGCCCGCAGTCCCCGCGGCTCGGCGTTGGGCCCGATCCGCGGTGCCGGGCTTCCTTCGCATTGGTACTTGTCTGCCCTCGCCGTTCGTCCCTGCGCCCGCCTCTGGCCCGGTGGGTCTCGGGAGTCTGTCCGTACCTCCATCCACCTTCGGCCACCGTGCTTCCACTTCTATACCTCCCGGCTTCCCTCCTCCAGCCCGAGAAATGCCCTTCGCCCCTTCTGCACTCTGCAGTGCTCCAGGGACCCACCTCCTGTTCGGTGACCCATCTGCATCCTTTAATTTTGGCTCGCACTTGGAGATGCTTGACCCTTCTGACTCTGTCTTCTGATTCTCCTCTCGCTGCCTTTAGCATCTGCCCCCGGGGTCTTCTGTGACCTATCTACTATTATCCTGCCTCAGAATCTAGTATTGCACCTCAGGAGCTGTCCCTTTAGGATCTGCTGTTGTACCTCCTTGGAGATCTATCCGAAATCCCCTGGCACTGCTACCTCGGGGTCATTCTCCTTCTTGGGCACAGCTCGCCCTCTCAGAATCTGCTGCAATCTCGGATGTCCCTTGGTTGCCTCTCTGACCTTCTCTGGCCCATGCTCACCTCTTCCTTTTCTCAGCTCTTGCTCCCATTTGCCATTTAGACCTTTTCCTCCCTCCTAGACCTTTTTGCTTCCTATCTTTGCCTGTAGCTCCCTAGCCTGCTTGCTTTCTGGGTCTGCCTTCCTAGGAAACAGCCTCTTTCCCTTTCTCTGATCCTGCAGGTCCCTCCTGCCTACTATTCGTTTACCTGACCTCTGTTCCTAACTCAGTTTCCCTCAGCCTTATTAGATCTGCCTTAGAGTTCTCTTGGGGGGTTTCTTCTCACCTTTTTTGGCTCTCCTCAGAGCTGTTCCATTCATTTGCTCCCTTTCCTCTGGCCAGTCTTCAATTCCCCTTTGCCCAAGACCTGCTTCCTGCTTCTGCCCATTGTGGGACTTTTTAGCCTTGCCCTTCCTTCAGTATGCCCCTGATGACTGTGAACCGTCACTTAACCCATTTCTATTATGTATTGCACAGACTGCCTTGAGAGTCTTTCCCACTTTATCCTCATTTTCCAGTTCTGCCCATCTTTACTTAGATGCTCCCACCCCCAACCTGCTCCCTTTTGGAGCTGTCCACTTGCCCGAATATTTTTTGACTCATTTTTTAATTTGTTCTTCCTGCCTCTCCTGAAGTGGTCCTTTTAACACTGGTTTCCTTCTAACTGCAGCCTAGCTCTGGTCCTTCTCAGTACTATCCTATGGCTGGCATTCTCTACTCCCGCACCATTTTGATTCAGTTTTTACTCTCCACAGCCTTTTATGTCCATTTTTAGTTCTCTTTCCCTTAGTTGTGACATTAAGGTGTATTTTTTCTTTTCCTTTCTGGTGCTGGAATTGAACCCAGGGCCTTTGCATAGCCCTTTACATCCCTAGCCCTTTCTTTTCTTTTTTTAAAAATTATTTTGAGGCAGGATCTCACTACATTGTACCCAGGCTGGGTTTATACTTGCAATCTTTCTGCCTCAGCCTGCCAACTAGCTGTTTTACAGGCATGTACCACTAAGGCATCTTTTTTTTTTTTTTTTTGCGGTAGTGGGAATCGAACTCAGGACCTTGCACTTGCCAGGCAGGCACTTATGCCACTGAGCTATGTCCCCCCCCCCTTTTTTTTTTTGCAGACAGGTGCTCTCTGTAGTTGAGGCTCACTATAGAGCACAAGATGGCCTCAAACTCATAGTGATCCTGCTTCAGCCTCTGAAGTGCTGAGATTGCAGGTATGTGCCACCATGCCTGGTCTGTTAAGGTGTCTTCTTGTTTAGGCAAGTGCAGGGACCAGAGTTTGAACCTCAGGACCATTGGGCATGCTGAAGTGGCCACAGAGACCGGGCGTGGTGGCGCATGCTTGTAATCCCAGAGCTGGAGAAGTTGAAAACAGGAGGATTACTATGAGTCCAAGCTATGTAGTGAGACTGTGTACCAAATACATTAAAAATAAATAAAAGTTTAAAAAAATTAAGATGTCTTCTTAGTTATTCCTTCCTGTTATTCTCCCACCCCACTTCTTGGAGCTGCCTCAGTTTTTGATGGTCTTTTCCTCTTGCTCTCCTTTTCCCGAATCTCCTGATTTTGTTTCTCCCTTCTTCCTTTCTCTGGTATCCAGTGTGGCTCCTCTTGCATTTCGTTCCCATTTCAACTGCTTCTCCCAGCTTGTGCCCATGTGTAGTCTGGCCGCTACCCATTAGGGCTTTTTCAGGTGTGTTCTTTCTCTGGCCTCCATCCCTCAGCTTCAGAGACTAAATAAAGGACTAACTTAGGTCTTGGGTTCTTTAGGCCACAGATTCTCTTAGCACCCTGCACTTCAGGGTTTCATCTTCAGGGATCTTGTGAGATCTGGTGAATGAGCAGGGGATGCTTGGTGACTGCCCCATTTTTCCCACTTCCACCAAGTGGAAGTGGTGGGATAGCTCACATTCCATTTCCCTGTTTTCTACACTGTGCTCTCATTTGTTCCCCTCTTCAGATCTCTGGGCTTCATAGCTTTGTGTCCTTCAGAAAGGAGGACTGCAGCTGCTCACAGGTCTTTCTCACTTTCCTCTCTCCTCTGAGCTGTTGCAGACACATAGCTGTACCCTCTTCTTCCTCTACCTCCAAGACAGCACCCTTTGGGAGCTCTTAGGGTTGTGCTTTTTAAATTTTTTTCCAGCTAACAAGTCATATTCTTGTTTTATTCCTGACAAGGGAAATGCCAGTTCTCAAGGCCTGCCATCCCAGGAGGGTTATGGCCACACTTGGTGTTTTCTGCGCTGGGCCTGCAGAAGCAGCAGAGGTTTTTTTTGCCTTCCCTAGTGGCCTTTGGTTTGCCCTGTGACCTTGGGGGAGGGGCTAGGCAGGGTAGGTTTATTTCTTTTTTACCTCTGCCCTGGGAAAGCTCTAGCTTCCTGGTCTTCAAAATCGTGAGGGCCTGGGTTTGGAAAGCACTTTGTGGTTGTTTGTTGAAAGAGACAGTGCCAAGTGTCACTCTGATTTCTGCCCTCTGGTATTGCAGGCACTCCCAAGTTACAGAAGTGCAGTGCCTCTGGGCAGATCCACTGTGCAGTTCCATGCTGCTCTGGAGCTTGGTCCCGTGGTGTGCAAGGGGGTATGTGGGCAGGCCTGACTTTCTTCCAACCTTTGGAGGGACCTCAGTGGGTAGAATTAGGGCTGCCACAGGCTGGCTAACATGCTTGGATTTTTGGTCTTGTTATCTGGAAACTGGGTCTTTGCTCCCTTGTCTGAGCTGTTTTTCTCCAGTGATTTTTATAGTGGGGTGGTGTTTAAGGAAATCCATTCAGAGGTAGAAATGGTTTTACAGAAGAGTCATCCAGCAGTTTTCCTTCCTTAGCTTGGGACAGAGGACCTTGGCATGTTCTAGGTTTATTTTTTAGTTAGTAAAGCAAAAGTCTGCTGACCCTCCACCCCCATTGCATATTAAAACATTTACTAGGACTTTCTTTTTCTTGTGCCAGGAATCAAACTCAGGATTCACTGGCACTTGCCAGGTAGGTGCTGTGCTACTGAGCCGTATGCTTGGCTCCAGAAGGACTTTCTTGAAGAAGCTATGTTCAGACTTTATTTCAGCACTTACTTAGAAAATTTCTGTTTGAGCAGATTTGGAAAAAATAAGTCACTTATCCATAGAAGTGTACCACTGACTCATCAAATATTCTATATGTGACAGTGAAAGGGCTGGATATTAGGTCTGTACGGCTCTTTTAACTTTTTTTTTTTTTTTTTTTTTCGGAACCGGGGATTGAACTCAGACCCATGCACTTGCTAGGGAAGCGCTTATTCCACTGAGCCATCTCCCCGGCCCCTCTCTTAACTTTTTAAGACTTCAAATTTTCTGAATATGCAGTCTAGAAATTTTAATGTTTTCATTATTAAAGAGATTTTGTTCATTTCCACTGTTGAATCTTTGGCCTTATATGTCATGAAACTCACTGAATTTATTTTAGAGTTGGTGAGTTTGGTGTAGCTTTTAAATTTTATTTATTTATTTATTTATTTTT